AATGAGTAGATGGAGAGTCACATGGCCTTAGGTACAAATACTTAGCAACAATGGGTGTCTTTTTAAATGAGCTGGACAAGAAAACTGGGGGAGATGGGTCAGTCATGACCTGCTCAGGGGGTTGGACTGAAAGCCAACCATGACGGTGGAAATGAACTTGAGAGACCCAGGCAGCTTGTTGTGGAGAGAACCAGGACAGCTGCTCAGAGGCACAGCTTGGAGGAGATGATTTCATGTGTTAATTACAGAGCATTTATTACACTCAAGGCCCTACGAGGGAGTACATAGAAAAATGACTATATCCCTGTTCCATAGAATCTTAAGATCTAAGAATCAGAGAGCACATACCCCAAACGTGAAGTGCATCAGATGCCATCAACACAGAAACAAACTAAATATGCCACAGGTTCAGAGATCTGGGGACAGGGAAAGCAATGATGGACTGGGAAGATGCTGTGGACTGATGGTATTGTGTCCCCAAAGTTCATATGGTAGAAGCTTAATTCCCACTGTAACTATTGAGGGTGGGAGATCCTATCACAATTACTGAAAGGTGGGGCCTTGAAGTGGTGATTGGATTGCAGGACCACGTCCTAGTGAATGGATTAATAGTGGTGGTCAGGGGCCTGGTTCTGAGAGTTTTAAAAGGAGAGAATATGAGAGATTAGTCTCTTTCTGCTCTGCCAGTCTCTTCTGTTTTCTACTATGTGAGATGCCTAGGTCACTGTCGCCACCACCAAGGCCTTTAACAAATGTGTTCCCTAGATTTTGGACTTCCCAGCCTCCAAACTGTAAGCAATCAATTTTGCTTCCTTATAAATCACTCAGTTCCAGGTATTTTGTTATGAGCAACGGAAACAGACTAACACAGAAGGCTTCACAGAGAAGACGGCATCAGGTGCATTGTGTGGCCTGCTGCAAATTGTACTCTCAATGCCAATATCCTGTCTGCCGTCTCCCCAACCATGACCACATTGACAAAGACAAGCAGAGGAGGGAATGGAGTCACACATTGTACCACGTGAGCATGGACAAGACTCAGTTACGCAGTTGGGTCATGGTTGGTTTTGTATGGATCCCCCTTCTCTAGCCCCACATGCTCCTCTGCAACACCCGCCCCCAACTTGCTTTCTATACCCCTGTGCGTCTGAGGAAGGTCTGCATCCCAGCCTGGCCCACTTTGTCATGGGGTACATGGCATAATTTCCATTCCATGTGCTTTCGCAGCCATTCCCCACGCATTCATTCAATCGTTAACTCACAAGTAGTGCTCAGACTAGTCCTTCCCTGGAATCCCGACCAGGGTAGGGAGGGTGAATATATTTCCCACGAAGCTCCGGCCATTGTTCAGAACTGTTTTCATCTTCTAGTGAGAGGCTGGAGTCACAAAGTGCTGCTGTTAAGATTCTTCCCATTATGCATTTTTCTTGAATAATGACATTTCTACAAAAAGAATTGACTGAGACTGAGGCATCAGTTTCCTCTTTGAAGAGGGAAAATATTTACCAATATAACTTCTCAATGCAAATGAGACAGATTTATTTATTTTTTTAAAGATGTGTATGTAGCGGAGTAAGATGAATTATGCAGAGCTTCAAGATAGTTAAGAATCTTCTGACTTAATTCTTTGGAGAAATGAAACAAGCAGCAGCTAAGGACTGTGGAGTCCTTACAGTTTGCCAGTTATTTGACTTTTTTTCTTCTTTTTTTACAAAGATGACTGGTAAGGGGATCTTCACCCTTGACTTGGTGTTGTCAGCACCACGCTCTCCCAAGCGAGCCACAGGCCATCCCTATATGGGATCCAAACCTGTGGCCTTGGTGTTATCAGCACCGCACTCTCCTGAGTGAGCCACGGGCCGGCCCTGTTATTTGACTTTTTTAATCGACCCTGGGAGCTCTATTACACATATACTGTCACCTGCATTTTCCAGATAAGAAACTTGAAGTACAAAGAAGTAACTTGTGAAGGGCACCGACTGGTCGGTGGTAGAGCTTGCATTTAAACTAGGTAGAATGGGGGGAATATGATATTAAGGAAGGAAGATATTATAGAGGGTGTTCCCTAAAATTCCGGAGAAAAGAGAGTCTAGACATTGAAGGGGTGTTATTTCATACACACCCATAGGTTGCGTTCATATCTGCATGTGACAGACATGTAACTTAACACTTGTGTTGCTTCTAGCTACTAAGTATGACAAGAAGATAAAGGAATTCGACCTTCAGAGAACCTTAGACTCTAACAAGCTAGAAACCTCAGAAAATGAAAAGAATAGCTGTGCCTGGATCCCAGATATCCATAAAAACTCTGCTACTATCCAGAGTGCCCTCTCTACCCCACCCATGAAAACAACCAAGTAGGAGGAACATAAGATATTTTTTGTTACGTTTGGGACAAAAATGCTCTCAGCCTTCATCGCCGCGACGTCCCCACATGACAGACCGTGAAAGTGAGGTTCTGAGAAGCCCTATGGCTCTCGTGTCTGTCCAGGCTGGGGCGGGGTGGCACTGGAACCCAGCCGGAGTCGGGCTTAGAAGGTTTGGTTGGGTCGTGCATTTCTTTCCTAGCTTGCTGACGTTTGTGCCTCCAGTGTTGGAATCACGGTACCATTTCCTGGAGGATCCTCATTTTCATCTCCACGTCTATCGGCGGTGGCATCATCAAGTGGGTGACCTGTGACCTCTTCCAAAGGGCAGCGGGGCACGGGCGGGGCCGCCCC